CAAATGACAATTTCTTTCAAGTGATATTCATCTCTGAGCAACTTCACAGTCTGCTGGTAATGCCTGGAAATGAGAAACGAATATATAATTAGTGTCCACTGAACTAACAATTCAAAGGACATGGATAGTTTATCAATTATGCAGTGATGCACCGCTAAACAGAGAACACTAGTATAATATAGCTGTGTACAAATGTGTGTATAAAGGTTCCGACACACATTCCAGGTCTGATGATGGAGAATGATCCGGTGTGACTGAGGTCCACTACAGTAGAGCCCAGTCTACTGGCCTCCTCTTCTCCCCCTCTTCCTCCATGAGAGATGACTCCTCCATCCACCACCACATCCAGGAGCGGCCACAGCTCTCGGAACTCCTGAGAAAATGATATAATATCACCGAATCAGGTAATAACTTTAGCTCTATCAGGGTGAAAATGACAGATGTACCAAAAATTCTAATGGCTTAGCAATCAGAAATGCACAGGGGTATATAATTATGGGTCAGAATGTGGCAGAATAATTATGTGGGCTAAATATAGAAATATGTTACTAAAGATAGAACAAAACAATAGGAACACAGTTAAAGAATGCAATTGAGTCACGTTTTTAGCAACATTTTCTTAGCCCCTATAATATAGTGCAACATTGTCATAAACACAATGTAAGTATTAATGTTTACCTGTACAGAGAGTGCTGGAGGAGTGACTGAGGTTGGCACTGGTGAGGGCCAGAGGACAGCCACACTGCTCCACCAGACAGCGGACAAAGGAGGAGTCTGGGATCCTGAGTCCCACCAGAGGGAGTCCCGGGTTGAGGGCAGGGTTCAGGTCTCCTCCTCTCTCAAAGACTGTGGTGACTGGCCCGGGAAGGAGACGGGACAGGAGACTAGACGGAACTGTCACTTTGGCCCACCTGGTGCAAGGAACAATAACAGTTGAAGCTGCTTCGAAGGCAGTGAGCAAAATCAGGCAACCTATACATATAGCTGTCTGAATTTCGTGATTATTTGATGACCTCCAGACAGTAATGGTTTAGGTGATGCATAAAACCACTGCAATTTGAAACTGGCATTTCCTTGCTTCAAATTAAGACAACTATATACTTCAATTGAAAATTAAAAATTAAGGAGTCTACTTCAATTGAAGGAAGTTCCATTCTACTCAACACAGAACACAACATGCAACATAACTCACCTATAAACCTGCTCAACATCACTGACACAGATGGCCAGGGCCTTGTCTCTCCGTCTCCCCTTCATCTCGTATATCCTCTCTATCCCCTCGTTACTTGAAACTAACGAGGCCACGCCGTAGATTGTATCGGTGGGTATGGCAACGACTCCACCTCCTCTCAGAGCAGCAGATGTCTCTTGCAACACTTCTTCTAGAGTTTTCTGTGGCAAGAACAAAGTCACACTCACATATATTTACAACAACTACTAATCTAGTTTCACGCAAACAAAATGAATAAATTGAGTAAGGATACTTTCCTGACCTCTTGCTAAACTTATGTAGCAGTATACCAGAGATCTTACCTGGTCTACGTTCTCAATACTGAGGACCCGAGCCATACCGAGTGAAGAGCTGCCCGCTACTCTTGGGAGACCTCCGAGTCTTCTGAGACCAACCAGTCCACCACTACATGACGCAAGGAGCTGCAGGCGCATCAGAGGAGCTTAGAACTGCAGAGAAGAAAGACAGCACGCGCACATCAAATTCAGTGCGCATGGGGTTAATCGTTAGTGTTTGGTTGCTAAGCGACGTTTCCATAGACAGCGGCCTGAGGCAGGTGATATGAAGAAGAGAGAGAGGTCACCGTGTCAAGTGGAGTTCTGCGAGGAGAGAGTTGAACTGGTGAACGACGGCTGCCAGCAACAGACACACACCTACCAGCTGCAGAACCGCGGCCCAGGCTCCGTGAGGGTACGGGCGGCCATCGGAGCCGACAGCGACCCTGTGAGTACACCTTCTCCCAGGCTCTACAACACGGCCTTCAGGCGAAATCATGTCTACACATTTATCAGTTACGACTTTGGCTCGCCGCCAGAAACTTGCACGCGTTTCCTAAGAGCCTTTGGCTACTCAGATTGGAAAGCCCTTCTTAGCTACAAACCTGTTCTCCGTGTGGTGTCGTGCAGGTGTTTGTTCTGCTGAGTGGTGGCGAGGAGAAGTACGTGGCTCCAGGTCTGAAGCTGCCCGTGGTCCTCCAGTACTCTCCTAAGGGAGATGATGATGCCTGCCATCATCGTGGCAGTCTGGAGGTGTTTGTCAACTCCAGTCTCTCTCTCACCATTCCCATCTCTGCGTTAGTTCACCTTATGCTGCATTTTTCATTTTTTTCATGTTGTACATAACACACTCAGACTTATTTATGAGTCTGTCTGCATGAGTTGACCATATACGCATGTTGTCTGCAATTTTCAATCCACACGATGTTTATGAGTCTGAAAGTGCTCATTGATAGAGTGTTATCAGATACTAGAGAGATTGAAACACGTGTTGTCCTTGATTTCTTCCAAAAGCACTGTAGACTACTATTATTGTAAGTGGCAGTTACGCTGCCAATTGACCTTTGTTTAGTAAACTGTGATTTTATGAACGAAATAACCCAACTGTGTGTCTGCATTCCTCGCGAACCCTGCCCCGTGTGTCCTGCAGTGTTCCTCGGAGTCCCAGACTCCACCTGAGTGAGGAGGTGGTGGACGTGGGGTGTCTGGTGACAGAGAACCAGATCCACACCACCTCCTTCTCCCTCTCCAACCTCGGGACTCGCGAGGGAGACTTCTTCATCGACACCTCTCCTCTCCCGGCCTGGATCTCCCTCCAACCCACCACTGGCCACCTACCACCTCTACAGTCCACTAGAATACAGGTATGACAATACATCATATGTAGTACACAAAGCATTATAAAGGGAAGAATACAGGGCTTCAGAAGTCTTTAAAGAAAACAGCCAATCACGAGCTCAAAATTTTCTTTTTGGCTTTATTGTATAATATGAGCATCTGTATGTGTGCTGTATTGCTGCTGCAGTGTTATGTTCCTACTAGATCACGTTGATGATCTGTGTTTTTTATCACAGATGGAGATTTTGTGCAAGGGAGAAATTGAATTCTCCTATGCTCTCAGGTTTGTATGGACAACTCCATTCTACACAAAAAATAGTTATGTGCCTTCATATGCAAATTTTTACTGGGAGCAATCCTAATGGATAGAGATGTACAGTTCAACTTCACTTGTATGTACGAACAATGTACCCTCTCCCTCAGAATCAGTACTTCAGCTCCACCCACTGCTGTTGACACCGCAGTTGCTAATACTGGTGGTGAGGGTGAGGAAGAGGAGAAGGCAGCTCCTTCTCTCCTCCTGACAGTGTGTGGGAGACTGGAGTCCAGAGCTCTCAGGGTCCTGGACCCTCTCTCCCTCTCCTCCCTCCCCTCCCTCTCCTTCCCACCCACCTACTATGACACAACTACCTCCAGGTTCTGTTTGTGGCAGTCTAATACTAGAGAATGCAACACATTTTTGGGGAGCGAAAGTGAGCAGTTCAATATTTCAGGGGTGGTTTACGCGTATTTAGAATCACTTACTAGAACCTCATTAAGGTGCTTGTGCATTAGATTCCTGTATTCAGAACAATAGGTAGACTCGCTTCGCTTGCCAATTAGCAATTGGGCCCTGTGCAGAGTGCATATGAT